TTTAAATTTGTACAGGTGGTGATAGAACGTGCCTTTAGTCCTAGCACTTGGGAGGAAAAGGCAGGTGGATCTCTGTGAGTTTGAGGCCAATCTGGTCTACAGAGCGAGTTCCAGGACACAGGACAGCCAGGGCTGCAGAGAGAAATCCTGCCTTGGAAAAACTAAAATAAAAATCTGTTGCTGTGGTGTGTGTGTGTGTGTAGTCAGAGGGCAACTTTGTATAGTTGGTTCTCTGGAAATCCAACTTAGGTCTCCAAGTTTGTGTGTCAAGTACCTTTACCTGACGAGCCACCCTGCCAGCCAGACTACTTGATTTTCAAGACAGTTGCGTGTGGCAGTTCATGTTCACAATCTCAGCACTTGGGAGGATGAGGCAGAACTGCTATGAGGTTCAGGCTGGGCTACACAGTGAATTCAAGTTTCATTTGTATACCTAGTCTATATACACCTGGGGTCTGTGAAAGATTTCTTGGGTAAAAAGGGTTGTGAATAGAAAAAGCTTAAGAAGCTCAGTCTGTTCAAGTCCTCCACGCTAAATAAATATCTACTTTCAAAATATGCACAAAAATCCTATTTCTACCTATGAGTTTAGTTGGTTAAAAACAGGTACTTAAAGAGGTATGGAGAAACAGTATTTGATCCCTTTTAAAACCCAAAAGACGCAGTAAGTTTATCAGGGGACTGAAACCAAGGTCCTGCACGTGCCAGTCAAGCACTCTATCTATCACTAAAGTAACCAACCATCCTTGGGTCCCCTCTTCTCAGTCCCTTTATTTTTGAGACAGGGTCTTTCTATGAGCCCAGGCTGTCTGGAACTTAACAATCCTGCTTTAGTCTCCCTAATTCTGTAATCACAGGCATCAACAACCACACCTGGCCATGAAACACCTTTTCCTTTCTTTCTTTTCTTCTTCTTCTTCTTCTTTTTTTTTTTTTTTGTATCTCTGGTTGGCCTGAAACTCACTCTGTAGACCAGGCTGACTGAGAATCAGAGATCAGACTGCTCTGCTTCCTGAGTTTGGGGATTAAAGGTAGGTACCAACACTCTTGGCTGGAGACAAATTTTAGAACCTAGTTTCTGACACCAGTTTAGATTTAGCTATTTTAAAAAGAATGACATGAACATAAAAGATGTGAAGACACAGGAGTAGCTACCACTGTGTTCTGAAATGAGAATGTCCAACAGCAACTCGTTCCATGAAATGAACACAGTAGCCATTCTAGATGGGACAGTGTTATAATCCAGACCATCCCAGAGTCAAAACATGTACACCTCCCCACTTTTATAACTGTCCGGTGGAGAACCCTAACTCCACCAGTAGGAAAGGCACTTCCACAATACCTACAGTAATTCTAGCCACCATCAACCATAAATCCAGTCATTTTCTATGCCCTCAAAAAGGAAGCTGGGGCTGGGAAACAAATGGCTTGGCACACAAACCTCACACCTAGAGTTCCAGCTTTGGACCCACATAAAAATGGGAGAGAACTGACCCCGTAACATTGTTTTCTGACCTCCGATGCCAATAAAGAAGAGGAAGTAATGACACAAAACTGCCACAGGGATGATTTTAAGGTACACCATGGCTTTAGTAAATGTTACATGTTGAAGGCTGAGAACTCTTAAGACAGGCAGGGATTGCCTGCTTGGTTCACTGCTATATTCCCTATGCCAAGAAGAATGTACACAACAACACAAGGTTCTTCATAAATGTTTGCTGCATTTATGAATGACTACATGAGAACTCATGAGCCACCACGAACTGAAACACAGTGACTGTTTCGTGACAGTAAAGACCACAGAGTTATCTATTTATGCTGTTGACAGACAGCTCTCTGTTTCAGTAATACTAAAACATTAGATTTTTCAACAAGATGCAAGGCCGAAAAACAAATTGAGTTTGTCAACGAGATGCGAATGTGAGGTAACTCATGCTTCTATTATGATGGAGCATAGCAGTGCCAGATACTTTGGTTTTCTTGTCCCATAATTATTAAGACATTCATCCTGAAATTTTGATTTATTTGCATGTTCATATGTATAGATCAGAAGTCAATGTTATGAATTTTCCTCAACAGCTCTCCAGCTAATTTTCTGAGACAGGTTATCTCACTGAAATTTGAACTCACCAATTTGGCTAGACTCTCTAAGCCATCAAGGCTACACAAGGATGTCACCTGGCTTTTATATGGATGCTGAACACCTGAACTCAGGTGCTCCTGGGCATGTGGCAAGCACATTACTGACAGACCATGCTACTAGCCTGTGCAGTTATTTTTTTGTTTATTTTATAGATATGTATATTTTACATGTATCTATGATTATAGTGTGCACCAGTAGTGACTGCAGAGGTCAGAAGAGGGTGTCAGAAGCCCTGGAACTGGAGTTATGAGTCACCACATGGATGCTAGGAATAAAATCCTGGTTCTCTGCAAGCAGAACACAAACAAACAAACAAACAAGTGCTCTAACCTGCTGAGCCATCTTTCCAGCCCCCTTTTTTCTTGAAGATCTTCTATATTCCACAAACTGGACATGATGATGAATAGGGTAAAATGACAAGCAAACCTGGGAGGGGGGGTGTGCTAAGCAGGAAGGATCCTGAGGTACTGGTGTGAGCCAACTGGGTTCAGATCCTTGTGACACCTTAATATTGCCAAGTCTTGGGTCTGTCCCCAAAGGGGTCTGAGAAGCATGCTGTTTGGCTGTCTGAGGTCCAGATGTAGTGTACGTGTCTGCTTGTATCCTGAAGGTCCTCCTATCGCTCCATACCAAAGCTTACAGTGCTGGGGGAAAATGACAGAAGCCACTGAATTCAGAAACAAAGTATTCTATACACAGCTGAGGCAGGACCACGGAGAAGTTCAAGGTCATTCTCAGTTACATAGCTAATAGAAACCAATCCTGGCTACAGGAAATCCTGTCTCAAAACAGATAAACAGCAACCCCACCATGTATCTAAATTCTACAGAAGAGACACATATTTTATAACTCTAGAAGTAACCAGGAGGCCGAGGAGATACTAATGGGAATTTCTTAGACATGATACTGCTGGGGGGGGGGGGGCCGGGGAAGGGGTAGAATTCTTTGCAAAACAAGCAGGGAATGAATGTATAAGCATGGAGGTGAGAAAGTATGCTTGATCCTCAGCCTACAGGATTGTATTGACTACTAATGACTTAGAAAAGCAGGTGAGGACACCATGACTGACAGTGACCTTTAAGGAGATTCACTTTAGGAAAATGACCCGGGCTAGTCTGTGGAGGGCAGATTAAAGAGGCACAATGGAAGTCCCGCTTGGTATCACACTCCCTTAAACCCAGCACTCAAAGAGGTAGAGGCATGCAGATCTCTGGGAGTTCAAAGCCAGCCTGGTTTCCAGGACAGCCAGGGCTGATACACAGAGAAACCCTGTGTTGAAAAACAAAAACAAACAAAAGGCACAATGGAGCGAAGGAGACCAGTTAGGGAACAGACAGGACAGAAAATCTAGGTAAGGTAAAGAAACCTCTATTTAAGGCAGAGTAATTCAGGTTGCTGAGAAGGCAGGACAGTGTGTGTGGGTTGGTGTGAAGGATGAAGAAGAGAGTCCACTGCAATGTGGTGTGTCTATGTGAAGTATGCGTCGTAGGGGAGGAGAAGAAAAGAATAGTTATTTTTGGGGGAGCAGGAGTGCATCACATTTTTGACTCTGGGACTGCCAGGTGGTACCAGGCTAGGAACACTAATCTGAGGGGAGGGTAGCAAAAGTCCAACCGGGCTACCAAGTTAGGTTTAGAACAAGTTAGGTTAGAGCATGTATGTAGGAAACTTGTAAATATGAGAGTAAACTGATTTTTCAGGGGCAATCCTTAACAGAAACATTATGGCAGTGGGGATGGATTGCAGCTGACAAGTCGGCTCAGTGGATAATAGCATTTGGTGCATAAGCCTGTCTACCTCAATCTGACCTCTGGATTCTAGGGTGGAAACTTCAACTTCTACATGAGTGCCTGAACGTGAACACATGTAATAATTAAAATTTTAGTTTTTATTCCTCTATCAGACTTCCCACAAACGTTTCTCTCTTCCTTTTTTGGAGATAAGATCTTGTATGTCCTGTGGTCATGGCTACCTTCAGCCTCCCAATTGCAGAAATTAGTGGCGTGAGTTATCACATGGAACAGATTTCAAGTACAGAAAACCTTAGATTTGTTTTAAGCATATGAATGTTTCGCCTGCCTCTATGTATGTGCACTAAGTGCATGCCTGGTGTTAGCAAAGGTCAGAAGGGGGCGACTCCTCTCCACAGGTTGTGAGCTGCCATGTGGGTACTGGAACTCAAACCGCTGAGCCATTTTTCCAGTTCCCCATATTTCAATTTTAAGCAGATTTAGCAACACATAACTCAAACTTTAGCCAACTGGCTGCAACCTGAAACCTCCACAGCACGCTGCAGTCCAGACCTTATGTGTTCATTCAAGAGTTATAGAACCTATTCTGGATCACTTAAGTAAAATCTTGCAATGCACTCCACGGCAGTTAAAATCCAAACGAGAAAGACAGTGATCTGGTCACATTGCCTCCAGACTCAACTTCATCTCAACAAGCCCTGCGCGCCAACTTTCTGATTTCTCTGGCCTAGGGCACCCTTAGCTCTTTCCTGAGTCTGCCTGGCAGGCTTCCTCCTTTCAAAATCTCACAGTACACAAGAGGCTTCCTTTGGAGAGACTTTCTCCTGCACTTTTCCACACTACTGCTATAACACACATGCTCCAATGCCACAGGTCCTGCTACCACACTGCCAGAGTTCCTCCGGGGCTGGAATGCAGCCTCAACTCTTTCGCGCACACCAGCGCCTGCAGGCACTATCCAAGGGAAAGGAACACAAACGGGCCTCGGCGAGCTGGGCCAGTGCTGAGGTTGGACCTGGAGCTCTGCCGCACAGCCCGCAGCAGCCGCACCCGCACCCACAGACGCGACCCTCGCCGAGCGCAGAGACGCGGACCCCGGCCCGCACCTGAGTCGCTCTGCGTCCTCGCGCTGAGATACTGCCGTAGCTTCCTCACTGCGCGGTCTCGGACACCCTTCTCGCTGGAGGCCAGCCGCTGGGCGAACTGGAGCTCGGCAGATTGCATGGCGGGAGCCATCGCGCCCGCTCCAGCATCCCCGGGTTGCGCGCGTGCTGCTCGCCGCCGAGCAGTCTGTATTGCGCCTGCGCACGGGCAGCGGCGCGCGGGTGATGGCGTCACAGACGCGCTCGCTGTATCGCGCCCAGCAAGCCCGCGTGCCCGTGGCGCGAGTAGTCGCTGCAGCTGTGCTGGCGAAGTACATCCTGTGGGTGGTCCAAGTTCAGTGCGGTTGGCGTCGAGGTTAGTTGGGGGCAGATTTCCGCCAGGGAGACGCCTACGGCTGGTTTGATGCAGTCTAGAGTCTAAGCACCGCTAGCAAGGCTCGGTCGGGGAATAGGCGCTCCAGCGACCCCCACTCACTCAGTGTCTGCAGAACTCGGCGGGCTTTCCTGGGTAGAGTTGAGACCCAGAAGGAAAGGCGTCATCCAGGCAGCCCCGGCCTGATGATACACAGGGGCAATGCTCCCCGCCTCCATTTTCTCCATCGTAATGTAGAGTCCGGATGTAGGCGCAGTGTTATAGAGTGAATGACCCACCTCCCATCTATGTCCTGCGATAGGTGCAGAGGTAGCGAGGAGACCTTGCCGTGTTGTAGGACAGGTGCGGGGTTTGGAGAGGAGGGAGAACAACCCATCCCTGCATCAAGGGCACGTACTGGGGTTTGGTGTGGCGAGAGCAATCCATTTCTGGGACAGACTCAGGGATGTGTAGTGACAAGAGAGCAAGTCTTCCTGAAGCGTCTTGGACAGTTGCAGGCTTGTTGAATGGGGAGTTAGCAAAAACCCTAGCCACAGCGTCTGGGTCAGGTGCAAGGGTGTCCACCTGCAGTAAAGAGAAATGACCTGTCCTGGCAGCAAGCAGGGCGGGATTTGGAATCTAACGGGTAGGGAACTTGCCTCTGTCCTTAAGTCATGCAAAACACAGTTTTGAGCCATGGTGTCATAAGGTTTCTATGGCTACAATGAAATACCATGACTAAAATGCAAGTTGGAGAGCAAAGGGTTTACTTGGCTTACACTTCCATATTATTGTTCATCGAAGGAAATCAAGACAGGAACTCAAACAAGGCAGGGAACTGGAGGTAGGAGCTGATGCAGAGCACATGGAGGGTGCTGCTTACTGGCTTGCTTCCAATGGTTTGACTAGCCTGCTTTCTTATAGAACACTGGACCACCAGTCCAGGGATAAATAGTAATACCCACAATAGTTTGGGTCCTCCCCCATCAATCATTAATTAAGAAAATGCCTTATAGCCTGCTGTTTATGTCAGAGGCAGGCAGATCGCTTTGAGTCCAAGGCCAGCCTGGTCTACAGAGAGAGTTCCAGGATAGCCAGGGCTACACAGAGAAACCCTGTTTTGAAAACAACAACCACAAAATCCTTTACAGGTCTGCCTACAACCTGATTTTATGGAGTCATTTTCTTAATTTATTTTTTATTGTTATTATTTTTTAAAATTTGATTTTTCAAGACAGGGTTTCTCTGTGTAGCCCTTGATGTCCTGGAACTTCCTCTGCAGACAAAGCCAGCCTTGAACCTGGAAACCCACCTGCCTCTGTCTCCCAAGTGCTGGGAGTCATTTTCTTAATTGAGGCTCCCTCTTCTCAGATGACTTTAGCTTGTGTCAAGTTGACATAAAACCACTCAGCACAAATGGGAACATACTAATCCCACAAGAAAGAAGTCTTAACAATTGTGCTAACTTTAGGGATATCCAAAGCCCTAGATCATCAAACATATTCTGTGGATTCATTAGCACGTTGGGGGAATTATTAGATTAGGATATCCTTCCAAACTTTGGTTATTTAATTTTGGTCCTCCTACCCCCTTGTAGCCCATACTAGACTCTCCCTTGCTATGTAGCAAGGCTTGAACTCCTTCTACCACCCAAGTGTTGGGATTATAGTCGTGTATCACTACAGCCAGCTTCAGACTTTGGTTATTTCATACCTCATTTACCTGGCCAAATAACTCTTCTGTGAATAATAAACAAACAAACAAAAAAAAAGTATCCCTCAACACAGGAGTGCTTTGGGCCAAGGGATACTGTTCTGCGTGGTTTCTCATAAAGGGGGTGTGGATTTGGATTTGGCTGTAGCATCCTCTCCTTAAACAGGAGAGGACGGATTCGGCTTATTTTGACACCCAGCCCCCCCTTTTTTGTTTTTGTTTTTCAAGACAGGGTTTCTCTATATTGCTTTGGAAGCTGTCCTGGCACTCACGCTGTAGACCAGGCTGGTCTCGAACTCACTGAGATCCGCCTGCCTCTGCCTCCTGAGTGATGGGATTAAAGAAGGTGCGCACCTCCAACGCCCGGCTACCCAGGCCTCATTTTGCAGGTGACAAATTTGAAACACAACTGAAACAATAAAGCTGCAGCAGAGTCGGGTCAAAGTTATCCTTGGAACCAGAGGTCCAGAGAGCACAGTGCGAATTTGGCGAGATTTGAACCTCGTGGCTTCCCGTCTGGTCCCAGCATATTCCAGTTCCCGCGCTTTCTGTTCACTCTGAGATCCCGCACGGAGCAGACGGTGCGCGACCATGGCCACGACTGGGGACGAGGTAGCTGCCGTGGGCGAAGGGCCTGCTATTGAGGAGACCTTCCGGGTCAGTGAGATGGCCCAGTGTCTTGCTCGTGGGAGCTGCAGACTCTCGCTCCCCTCAGGGCGGGTCCAGATCCTGAGGAGATGTCCCCGTGGCTGCGAGGCTGCCCAGGGTGGGAGACTGGAGGCGCCGCGGTCCTGAGACCTCTGAAGGCCCTCAGTCAAGTTAAAAAGTGGTGGTCTAGGTCTCAAGCCGTGAGGCTTTTGGGGTAACCAGAGCTGGTGACTCGGTCAAGAGAGAACCTCGTTGATGCCTACTTCCGGGTGACGCCATTGGTTGCTGGCGGTGGATGGTAGGGGTTGCTGAGGCCTTGAGCAGCCCACAAAGGTCCCATTCTGTAGCCCCTCAGCCTTGGGCATATTAAATTGCAGGTGTTTTCTTTGGCTTTTATGCTCATGTGTACGTTTTATCCCCCTCTTCCGATATATTTGTTCTTACCAAGTCAGAGCCTTGATTTGCTGCTCACACTTCGAACTCCTGGGCAAGCTCATCTTTGGGCCCCAGTTTCTTGAAAAGCTATGAGTATAGGTGTCCAGCACCACTCGTCTCTATAAAACCCATGTGTACACACACACACACACACACACACACACACACACACACACACACACATCCATATACATGCAACAGAAGGTGTATCAGTTACCAGGGGTCATGGACTAGGCCTATAACCCCATTAGTAGGGAGGCAGAGGCACAAAATGCAGCATAGTATATGTCGTTCCATAACAGCCAGGGCTACATTGTGAGACTTTCCCTCTCAAAAAAACAAAACAAAATTGAACACACATGCATGCACATAAAGGTACATACGTAGACATGCTTGTGAGGTAATTTTGAATGTAAGAGTCTTGAAAGAAAGCAAGTTGATTTGGGGTGCTAGTTTTGGTCATCTGAAGAGAAATACTGTATTGTTAAGATCTACTTGCTCTTTTAGTACATAGAATCTAAAGAAGAATTTGTTAAAGTCAGAAAGAAGGACCTGGAACGACTGACAACTGAAGTGATGCAATTACGGGATTTCTTACCCAGACTACTAAATGCTGAATTAATGGAAAGTTTCCAGAAATTAAGGATTGTAGAAAAAAGTGAGTTTTACCTTGTGTATGTTGCTTGTCTTTATGTGGGCTGGGGAGTAAGTTTTCAGAGTTGAGCTGAGTCCAGGATTGCCAGGACTTATCTATTCAGTATTTTTACATTGAGCAGTATATCAACTACTAGTCCAGGACCCTTTTAAATTTCTTGGAGGTATCTGGATTGAGTCAGCACTTGCCCAACTGGGATTGAATTGCAATTAAATCTGTTTTTGGTGGTTAAAGCTAATTTGTCACATCACTGTCAGCCCTCATAGTGTGGCTTCACAGTGTATAGCCAAAAGGCCTTTGTAATATTTCTAGCAGTATGTCCAGATAAGGAACTTTTTTTTTTTTTTTTAATATTTTATATGTATGAGTGCTCTATCTGCATTATGACCCTATGCCAGAAGAGGGCATCAGATCCCACTACAGATGGTTGTGAGCAACCTTGTGGTTTCTGAACTCAGGACCTCTGGAAGAGCAGCCAGTGCTCTTAACCTCTGAGCCATCTCTCCAGCCCTGATAAGGAAGTATCTTGACTCAAGAATGCAGGTTTTTGAGCCAGACATGGCAGTGCATGCCTGTAATCCCAGTACTTGGGTGGTGGAGGCCTGATGATCAAGAGTTCAAAGTCATCTACATATTGAGTTCAAACCCTAGCTTGTAATACATGAAACCAGCAATGTGATGACCTCCTTGGAAGTGGGGGACCATCAGATTGCCTAAATTGAGGAGTAAGCCAGTAGGTTCCTAGTTTGTGCATATGTACCTAGCCTGTGAGCCAGCCCTATCCAGTTAGAAGGGCAGATGGTCACGTATACATGGTACCATGCACTATTCTCTCAGGAGTCTTTACCATCAATTAACTTTTCTGCCCCATGCTGTTTGGTGGCTGGTGGACTCTGCTGACTGGAATTGGCAGAGCTGGGCAAAGAAGGCTTCTCTGAGCAAAGAGGGGGAGTGGATGGGAGGGAGCACTAATCTGCCCTCCACCATGCTCCTTACTCAGGTGGTTATATTCCTCCACAGCAAGTGCTCCTTCCTGGTAGCCTTCTCCACAGTCTACCTCTTAGTGGCTACTAGTAACACCATTCTCCCTCAGAACTACAGGGCTGTTGCCTTTCCGTGGGTATGTCACCATTCTTCGTGAGGGCCTTCTCCTGTGCCGGGCTATTGACTTTTTTTAATTTTTTTAAAAAGATTTATTTATTTATTATGTACACAGTGTTCAGTCTGCATGTATGCCTGCAGGCCAGAAGGGGCCACCAGCTCTCATTATAGATGGTTGTGAGCCACCATGTGGTTGCTGGGAATTGAACTCAGGACCCCTGGAAGAACAGTCAGTGCTCCTAACCTCTGAGCCATCTCTCCAGGCCTGGCTATTGACTCTTAACTGCTTTGTTCTGATCTCATTCTTACCTGGCAAGTTTTGAGGGTAATTGGTCTTTTTATGCATTTATTTCCAAGAAAGAAAAATGCCGCCTGTTAGCACAGTGCGTTAGCCTTGTTGATTGTTACTCTGTAAAATATTCTGCAAAATTCACTAGGGTCTCATGAAGTAGTTTTGAGGTCGGTCTCCTTCCCAGGTCAGTCTAAGGACCACATGGAATCTTTGGTAACTTCATTAAGGTCAGACTACAGGGGATGTTTGCTTATGGTTCCTGACCTTCCTGGGCTGTTGTCACTTTTCTGTCTCTGATGATGTCCTCTTGGTCTCCTTTGCCCATTTACCTTTCTCAAGAGTCTTTAGACAGTGCAGGTGCTTGAGGCTCAGCTTAGTCTGCTTTCTCTGTAGCTTCCAAGGCAGTCTCATGCTCACACATCGCCTCAGTCACTATTGGATGCTGGTGGCTGCTGGATGCATCTGTGTCTTCAGTGTGTGCCTTACCCTTACTCTTACTTGTCATCTTTTCCCACTTGTCCTGTTCCCATTCAGACTCTAAATGTCTGTCCTGACCTAGTCAGCAACAGATCCGCATTTGACAAGGTCAGGTTTATGTCTCATTGAGGTATGCATGACCATATATGAGAAGAATTGGGAGGCACCTCATCAGGTCTTGAGGCATGGTTGGAATTTGGTGGTTTGGAAATGAAGCAGTGTTTATTGTTAGAGATGGCTTCACTACATATCCTGGGCTAACCTTGAATTCTCTGTGGAGCCCAGGCTGGCCTCAAACTGTAGCTATTCTTGCCTCTGCCTCCTAAGTGCTCAGGCAATGTTTTAACAGCTCCTGTCAAGGTGGAGCTGTGTATAAAGTGGCAAGTAGAGTACGAATTTGAAGTGGACCCAGGTCTTGTTTGCCTGTAAACAATGAAGTTCAAATAAATGTAGAACACTGTTTAGACATACCGTACCCACACCTCTGAGTCTAGTGGAGAGTCTGGCTTTTTCTCTGTGTCACTGTAAGTCTTCAGGACAGGTCTTAGTTTTTTTCCTTCTGAAGTGCGGGATTTTTCAACATAAATTTGATGAATAAGAAGTGAGCAGCCACTCCAAGAAGGGGGTGCTGTGACACTTTCCGGTTAATGAGAGAGACACAGTTTTCTGTTTCTTTGGCAGTTGGTGTTGTCTGTGCCCACTGTTCTAGCCTGACAAATGGTAGGGCATATATTCACTTAGCAAGATCACTTGTACTTTCTTCTGTCTTTCTTATGATTCCCTTGTGCTTTTTCTCTCTGGGCTGCCTTGGTCTCCTCAGAAAACAACCCCAGATCAGACACCTTGGGTTCTCCCTTTCTCTAATGAGTTCTGTAATTCTTCCTTGGAGATGTATTATGACTTCAGTAGCCTGTCTTTATCTCTGCTGTTTTGATGGAATCCTTGTGCTTGCCTCCCTAGGCAGTGTCTACCATTCCTAACCTGGGTCGTATTTGTCTGATTCTGTCATCCCACTCCTCAGGTTAAACTGTTAAAGTAGCTGTTCCTAGTCCTTAGGATAAAGACTAACTAACAGACTGCTGCTTTGCCAGGACCTAAACAGACCTTACTGTGGCTGTGAAGCCTTTGTATTGCTGGGTGAGCCTCATCCACAGTGGGTGACTGTTCTGACTGCCTAGACATGATGAGCTCTATATTAGGCATGGCCCCTGTGCTTTTCTTCCTGGGAAGTCACTGTCAAATTTCAACTTAGGCTTACCCTGACCACCTTTGCTTTTCTGACTGAGGTGTGTTGAAGAGATGGTCTTCTAGAGTACCCTTTACCTAGTTTTTGCTTTTGAATTTACTTACTTTCTTTTTTTCTTCCTTTCTCTCTCTTCCTTCCTTCCTTTCTTTTCTTTTTTTTTTTTTTTTGAGACAAGGTCTCACTTGGGGTAGCTGTGGCTGGCCTGGGATTCTCTGTGTAGATCAGGTTGGCCGTTCATGCACAGAGATCCACTTGGCTTCTGAGTGCCTGAGTTGATGAGATAGGTATCAGATAGCATGGGGAACCCAGTCCTGAGCTATTGGCAGTTCCTTTGAGAAGCTGTGTAGGTAAATAGTAGTTTGGAATAATACTGATCAGTGCCTGTCTAAGCATCTTTGAGAGTCAACACTGAGGAAAATGCAGTTTCTTTTTTTTTTTTTAAATTAAGATTTTATGTGTATGAGTGTTTTGCCTGCATGCATGTGTGTGTATCAGATGTGCCATGCCTGAGGAACTTGGAAGAGGGTTTTAGATCCTCTGTCACTAGAGTTACAGACAGTTGTGAATTTCCCTAAGGTTCTGGGAATTGAACCCAGATCCCCCAGGTCCTTTGAAAGAGCAGCCAGTGATCTTAACCACTGAACCAACTCTCTCCCCGCCCCAAAGCACAGTTTGGTTTGGTTTTTTGTTTTCTTTGTTTTTTGTTTGTTTGTTTGTTTTTAGAAGGAAAAGAAAAGATGTGTGAAAGTCATAAATGGGAGTAAGGATCAGTTTTTTTATTTATCAGCTGGTTTTCCTGCCTTTGAAGGACTTGGGTATAGCAGAAGCAAAGATGGTAAATGTAGGATGTTTATAGAGGATGGGAGGGGTTTTAGTGGAGGTGAGAGGCATTTGGAACTTTAAATGGAATGATAATAAGATACTGATGAAGTGATGTTTTCAGGAAAACAATTTGAATATCATGAGTTTGAAGGTCTGACTGGGTGGAGGAGTAACGAGAGTGTTCCTCAAGGCAAGTCCTAGGCTCCATTGGACTCTGACTGGGTGGATGGAACAGGAGGAACATGAGAAAACATGATGGGCTATGGTGATGAAGTGAGGGCACAGCCTACTAAGGTAGGATCAAGGCATGATGGAAATAAGGAGGGTGGGACATCTGTGTCCTGCATGCTGGCCAGCATTTTGTTCTGTCCCCTGGAGCTATAAAGTGTTCATCCAAGCAGAGTAGAGCACTTGCCGGTTACATACAGGGTTCAGAGTAAGATCCCTAGGACTATGCTACCTATCCTGAGAGTCTCCTAGGACAGGGGTTCTCAACCTTTCCAATGGATGACCCTTTAACACAGTTCCTCACTCTGTGCTGACCCCCAACCATAAAGTTATTTTTGTTGCTACATCATAACTGTAATTTCGCTACTGTTGTAAGTCATAATGTAAAAATCTGTGTTTTCTGATGGTCTTAGTACACCCCTCAAAGGGGTTGTGACCCACAGGTTGAAAACTGCTGTCCTAAGATGTGGCAAGTAGAGATGACTTAACCCCTCTAAAGGGTTCTTAGCCCAGTAGCTTCAGTTGTGACTCAGGTACAGTGAACTTGTAATAATCTTGACTTGAGGTTTACCCAGTAGAAAAGTTCATAAATACAAAATACACCCATGCAAACATTATTAGCACTCTTCAGTATTGAGCATTGGAGGAATGTTTTTGTAAAGAAAGAATCCTGCCAGCACTGTTGTTTATCATGTTCAGATCTCAACTGAGAGTGAGATGGGGGAATGAGAACACTGTGGGGCTTTCAGAAACCATGTAAGATCATCCAGTTAATAGGTCAGAGTCCATGACTGAGATATTCTGTAGTTTTCTGTCTCCTGTAGTGATTGGTGCCTT